GTCTGGTTGTGGAAGGTGGCAGCCCTTCATAGGGCAGGAGAGAGCTTGGCATGGGAGCTGCAGAATGGTGTCAGTAGGAGGGGCTGCTGGAGGCAACTGCTCTGCCTTGTTCAGACCAGGGACAATGAGAAAACTGAGAAAACTTTGCTCCTGGATCAGGCTGGTCTTCCAGCAGTGTTGATGTGTTTCTGTACCACTGTGCCGGGGCCCTGTTCAACAAACTGCTGACTGCAGTGTGCAAAGAGGGTCTAAATCAAAACTGGCCACCTGAGACTGAAACTTGTAAAATCCTGCCACTATTCCTTGAAAAGTTGGTCTCATCTGAGCCCAAATGAAAACTGTTCACCTCATTAATCCCATTAATTATAATGTGAATGCTACTTGAGTAGAATTCCCTTCTTTCTTTTCTTTCAAGTTGGGTCAGTGAGATTATAGAGCAGCATCCTGAAAAATGCCTGCAGGTCTTGTCTGTTGAAATGGGTGTCTCTATCCAAGCTCCTCATTGCAGCTTCAGTTGTATCTGGTTTCTTGGGGCTGCGTTCAGTCATGTTTGATGCCCTCAAGGACATTGGCTCCACGGGCCCTCTGGGCACCTGTGCTTTGTCTGAACAGCCTCATGGTGACAATCTTTCTGTCTAGCTGGGATTTCTCCTGATTCTGGTGCCACTCATCCTTCTGCCATGGAATACCTCTGAGAAGTGTCAATCATCTTCTCTACAGCCTTTCAGTAGGTAGTTGAAGGCACCAGTCTGGTGAGCCTTCCTTTTTAAGAGGAGCATAACTTCCTAGGAGGGATTTAGAGAAACATGAGAATAATACATAATTGTTTTATCCTGTTCCTAAGTATATGTTTGTGTACTCCCTGAGTTTCTACATGACCCCAGTTCTCACTTGGTTTTCTGTTACTATCATAATAATGTTGAAAAGGGACCTGCAAAAGAAGAGAGGGCTTTTGCTCCTTTGCTGCCTTTTAAATCTGTACATGTAGAGAAATCCCCAAACCATGGTTTGCTGGGTAGAATTTTTATTGGCTTGATTTTTCTGGTGTTTCCTTCCTCCATGTGATACATACATTTTTAACTTCTTTAGAAGATTGTTTGAGTAATGGCAGGCAGCCTGGTAGGATTCAGGTGCCTTGGAAACCAGAAAGCAAGAAGACAGTTGAAGGGATAATTGACTTCTGGTTTTAAAGGTGCCAGCTTTTGTTTAGCACACCTTCTTTTCTGAACTTGATCACTGAGAATGAGTCTTTCTCTTGTATCTCTAGGCATGACTTGAGAAAGCTTTCAACTGATATTTTTCATAGGACAAATAAAAATATCAGTAAAAATGGGCTTCCTCTTACTGATAGTTAAATATATAAATAAGTATAAGGGAGAACAGTCTATTCAAGATGTTCTTCATGCATTTTAAACTAGCAAAGAAAGCCAACCAAAAAGGGTTAAATGCAATTTTTTTCCTTTTCAGGTCACCTTTGAGGGCAGTATAAATCAAGACAAGTAATTTTAATTCTTTTAGGAAGCAAGTAGAGAGGTGGTGGAATTTGCAAAGCTCAGGTGTGTGATGAGATTGTGTCAGCCTGTGGAAATCCTCCTTTCAGTCCTCATTTGGCACTCATGGTCATCATAAGCTGGCTGCTTTAGCAGCTGTAGTTTCTCTGTTGTATCTTGACACAAATATATCCTTCCCATGCTGTATATCTATTTTGAGAAAATATTGGCTACAGCCATTAGGAAATGCTGAGCTACTTATTTTTTCCTCTTCACTTCGATAAAGTTGTAATCAACAGGAGACTATGCTGAGATAAATACATGCTTCCAGAATTTTAAGAAATTATTTTTTTTATATGGTGCTTCTTTCATGTGGAATTGATTGGTGCTTGTTGTCAACACATGAATCCCAGTCAATGGCTACTGTGTTGTCAGTTAATACCATAGGAAGCATAATTGATTTGGTAGAGCAAAGAAATTTTGCTGAGATTAAAGAGGACTAAATGGAAGTTAATCTAGCATTTGACCTTCCAGTTTACCTGACAAAATTAAAGGAGGGAGCACAGTGGTCTCTGCAGGTGATGATGGGAAGTGGAGAGGAAGGTGCTGAGCTCTCCTCCCTGGTATCCAGCAAAAGGATGCATGGGAATGGTTCAAAACTGGATCATGGGAGGTTCAGAGTGGACATTAGGAAGCATTTCTTTACCAGGAGGGTTGTCAAACACTGGAACAGACTTCTAGAGTAACTGATGTCCCAAGCCTGTCAGTCTTAAGAGATTTAAGTGAAGTGGTCAGACAGTGGCGCTCAATGGTCATTGTAGGTCCCTTCCAGCTGAACTACTTGTTCTGTTCTAGCATAATCATAGAATTCTGATTACCTGCAGTTTGATCAGGTTTGAGTTTTTCTTCCCTTAAAAGAAGAAAAACAGCTTAGACACTGTCTTCCTATCATAACACAGTCCTAAAGTAATTTATCTCTTTCCTTCTCCTTGTTCTGCACTGATATTTCCATGTCTGAACAGGATATGGGGATTATGATGGGTGTGATTGAAATTACTCAGGTCAGTCTTGGTCCTACACTGTGAGATCCATAGTTAAGTTTCTTTGGTGAGTGCAGATCCTGAAATTATGTATGATCATTTAGCCAGAGCACAGGATAGGCAAGATACCGTCTTAGACACTGAGAGCAAGGCTCCTCTGGTTTTATTCAGCTTCCTAGAGAGACTTCAGAATTCATGCTTTCACTTCCCTCTAATTGAGTCAGCAAGCAGTATGTAGCCAAGCCCAAACCTATTTTAGGCTTTAGCTAGAATGCTTTGATTATTTTTTCAGCTCAGAGGGACATTTGGAAGGCTGGTGCAGTACACAGTGTGAAGAAGCCTTCTGACATTATCTGAAGCAAAGGAGTGTTAAAATTCAGCCTGATTTTCACAGAAATTGCACAAAATATCTGATTCTGAAACTGGAGTTGGTTCATAAATCTGCGTGAAAACTTCCAGGCTTGGGAGATCTGAGCCAATAATACTGTCAGTCCATACCTTACCTTAGTCTTTGTGTTTATGATCAGTGTGGTGGCACATCACACACTTGATGTGTAGTGCAGGATGGGGGTAAAACAGCAGCTCACTGTTGCTTGTGAAGAGAGGTGACTTTAATGCTTGCTTTGCTTTATGTCCTGGAGCCGCCTGCTTCTGGCTGCTTAGGTACAGAGAGTGATGATAGTTCCTATATAAGCCATTATCTAAGTTAATGGTCTGCACAAGCAGTTCCTGGAGTCTTGTTAGGTATTTTTTAGCCATTATTTGAAGTATTTGCACTTGCAAATAATCAGTTTGAAAGTTACTCTTATTTGAGCTTTAATGTACCTTAAAGACCACATGCCATGAAAAGGGACTATCAACTGTTTTTTTAATTGGGAATTATTATAGTTCAGGTTGTGCAGTGCTTGTTCCAGAACATGGTACTAACAGGAGTTTTTGGCATGTATTATAGATGTTTTTTACATGAAGCTAAATTTTTCTTTTAATGCATTAATTATATTTGTCTTTAAGAGGCTTTTCTTTAGCCAAGATAAATATTGAATGGAAAGACATTTTCATAGCTAGGTCTTTGAAGAATAAAAAATTTATCTGCCCTGGAGCTGTGAAAGTGGCGGATTTATATAATTTCAGTAAAAAAAAAGGCAAAGTTTCAATGCTGATTTTTTTTTTTCTTATAAAAAATTTGAGATTTCACAAAACTGTAATTTTTTATAAGAGAGCAAAATGGAGACAAAGTAAATTCCTTGCAATTCTTAAGGAATGTATTTATATGAGCTGGTGTAATGTTTTATTTCCATTCTGGTAGAGATTTCTACCAGATTAGGGATTATAAGGATTGATTTCTTGGCAGCCTCACCTAAGGGAGTCTTGCAAGTCTCCTGCAAATAAAATCACCTTCAGAATCATTGTTCCATTTCTCTTTCTCCCTCTTGTGAGATTTATATACGTTAAGGGTCGTAAGCTGTCAGACTTTTGATCTGTACACATCTATACTTGTGATAAATTTTTGCCTTGGTTTTGAACATAGTAAATAAATACCAGTATTACTAGACAACAAATACTTTTGCACATTTATTCAGCCATAGTAGCGTGGTGGTGTAACAATAAGCAGTCATTGAGGGATTATCCTTTTTCTGAAAATATTGATGCTTCAATAGGAAAGAAGGAAGAGAATTTTTTCATAAGATTTTGTTTCATAGTAGCTAGTTTATAATTTTAATATATATCTAAAGATAGAAAAACACTTATTTCAAAGAAATCCAGAGCTCTCTCACCACTTCGTATGACAGAAGCATTTACATGGAGTTGCTTCAAATAAGATTGCAGCTTTCTGTAGGACATTGAGCAGAGACTGTTAAAGATTTAAACTAAATTTATACCAGATTGTGTTTATTGCTGCCTTTCTGTAGATGCAACTTACACTGACAAGAGAGTGTGTAAACTTTGCTGGGAATCATATGTTATTGTCATCATTGTTGCACTATTCCAGATCTCCTGCCTTAGTTTAAAAAGGAAGGGGTGAGTTATACATCAGTGCTTCCCAAATGCTTTTAATGGGGTTAAGCTTCCATCCTTACCTTGAAAAAACTTGGCTATGGAGCAGTGGAATGCAGGATAGTACAGGCTCTGGAGGGTCTCCATCAAACAGAGGTTTAAAGGAGGCTGAAACTCAGGGGTTTGGGGCAAAAGGGTGCCTTCTTTACTTTGTGGCCTTGAATTTTGAGTTTCTTCTCTGGAAGAGTGGCTTGCTTGGCAGTACTGATGAATTTAAAAATCAAGCTTTCCCACGTGGGAAGTTACTAAATGTGCCAATAAACATTTTCACCAATATGCAGAAGTTTAGAAAATAAATATGGCAATATTTCCTTATAAGAGATTTTTATCTGTTAAATTTTATTCTAATCACTTTATGGAGTCAACAAAATCTTGAAATGGAATTGCTTCTAAGTGTGGATTTTCTTTTTTATAGCACTGGTTGGACCATTCAAAATTCATTAAGAAGCAAATAAAAAGTAAGTACTATGTCTTTGCCTGTTTATTTTATTACTTCCTAAAGTATTTGAACTTAGTGTATTAGAACATGATAAAGAATGTTTAAATTTGGCCTTTAATAGAATAAATATTCCTTAGAAAATAGTTTTAATTTAATAGGTATTTGGCTGACTATGTTATGAATAAAGGTAGGAACCTTATTAAGCAGTATCCAGCCTTCAGAAGCCCTTGTTAAACCTGTGCTGTTTGTCTAAGTTAGAGAAGGTTGCCAGGTAATTTCAGTCAGATCTGTGAAACTAGGTTGCCTGGACACAGATTGCAGTTCCTGTCACTGCTTCTGATCCAGAACAGATATCCTGCAATTTCTTTCAGAGTGTGAATGGAAAAATACTTCATTGTGTAATGATTAATTTTTAATTTTTTTCCCAGATTATTATTTTAGAAGTTAAACTAGCAGAAATACCTGCTGTTTTGTCAAATGTAGTTTTGAAATAGCTGCTGTTTCATCAAAGGTAGTTTTGGATGGAGGGGTTGGTGAGACTGTGTTTTCTGTGAAAATTGTCTAAGGCAGGGAAGTAGCTCCTGGATTTTTGGTAATCTGGTTGCAGGCTTGGGTACAGTACAGCATTGGCATTAACATGTGTTATTACAGTACTGCAGTTGGCAACAGTCATGGGCCATGAAGGCATGGCTTCAGTGAGATTAAAATGCGTTTTTCAAGAAAATTGTTGACCAACTCGCAGGACCTGACAGAGATAGGTTGTGATTGCATCAGTGGTGCTCTCCCTTTCTTTCTGACAAGTCCCCAAGTATCTAGATGATTTTTGTAAAGAATGGAGTTCTTCAAAAACCTTTAGAATAGTTTGCTGTCACCCCATGGTGTGTGGGTGTCAGCCTGCTGCAATCCATGGTGAAGATAGCTGCTATGGGTAAGGTTTATCCTGTTTGGTTTTCTCTCCTCTTTTCATCACATCACAGACTGCTTTACCTTAAGTGACTAGCTGATTTGCAGCTGCACTTTCTCTAATAGCTTTGTCCTGGAAGATCAGTGATTCTGTAACACCTTCAGCCAGGTGTTTTTGTTATTTTTAATGTGTAAAGGGCCTGTTTTTAAAATAATTTGGCCAGTCCTGGCTCTGAGGAATGCTGAAGAGGGAAGCAGTTTGTTGGGTGTTGTAAAGGTCTGTTTCACAACAGGTTACTTTCCTTTACCTTGAATTCAGCAGATGCTTTGTGGAGAGTTCCTCTTTCATGATGGATGTTGCTGACTGCTGTCTTTGCCGAGTCCTTCTCTCACCTATGCAGACCTCACCAGTGGTGCCAAGCTATGAGCTCAGGGTCCTATAACCTGACTTATGGGAGCTGTAATGGAGACAGAATCAAAGCTCTAATTATTTGACTTCTGGCTGCATATAATTTAGTAGAAGGATTATTAATAGGCACATTTGCTTGTTGATGTGGTGTTACAGAAGACCTTAGAAAAGGGAGGAAAAGTAATTTTTCCATCAGTTAATACATCAGCAGGCAGTTGGTCGGATGATGAGGGTTAGGCAGATAAGGATGCATTGGTCACAGTTTCATGGTAGCTGGATAACTTCCTTCCTATTTTCTGTGTTACACGGGAAGTCATGTAGCATTCACCTTCTGACATTAGAAAACACAATTCTTGCAATCCCATGGAATTTTCTGTGTTCGTAGATGCCTTTCAGAGTCTTCCCCAGCACTTTTCAGTCTATTTATCTTACCTTTTCAAATTGATGTATTTCAATCAAAAGCTGATCTGTTGGGTAGGGTTTTTTTTTTTTTTTTTAGTAGTGTTTGTGCCTGGTAAGAAGGAGCACCAC